GTGCTTAGTTGTGAACAGTCAGTAAACAGAATCAAATTAAATTAAAGTTGTTTAAATAGTTAGAAATTGCCTTCGATAACCATGGTAACTAAACCAAACCATATCTTAGTTGAATAGAAGATACTCAGTCGAGAACAGCAAGGCTCAACTACAAAGGGTAATAGGATGTAATGAGAATAAAAGATACTTTGTGAAGTAGATGCTTAGAAAGAGGATTGGATGAATTGAACGTTGAGTTTGGTTATGGGTCTTACATTTACAGGAGTGTGAAAGATATAAATACCTAGATTCATGCAGAATTTACACAGCATACATTTGTTTGAGAGGACTGAGTTGTGGCTCTCTTGAGACAGGTGTTCCTTCTACTGATGTAGTTTGTTCAATGTCAGTATGATTTTATCTTTTAGTCTCTAACGTTTAGTGCGCTGAATGTGACTGCATGTGTTTCCTTACCAGAATCAAGCTGGAAATTCCTTTTTTGGTTGACATGATATTGTCAGCTCTTTCATTTTTCCCTGCAAAACGTTATATAGATTTATTTCCTGATGAGCCCAGGATTAGGTTTGCTCCAGTCCTTGGGCCAGTTCCGTCCAGGACAAGAAAGAATAGCAGTATTGTGGAGTACAGAAGAGGTCTGTTTGGAATAAAGTCATACTTGCCATCATATTGGAGATTTAACATGCTAGGGGAATACTCTAAGCATCTGTTGAGCTTTGGAGCTGTTTAATTTCTGCTTGTCATGATTTTCTTGGAATTAGCCTGCCCTGCATCCTTTCCTAGTTGCCCTCTGGGATCAAGATACTGCTCAGAATTACAGTATACTCCTGTGAATAGTTCTCTTGAAACTATGGTGCATACAGTTCCATCTGTCCTCTGCATTATGACTTACTGCTTGTATTGTCCTGTACCACACCCAGTTAGTTGAAACTGCTCAGAACATTGTATAGAAAAACGATTATCTCTGTGACTGCAGAAAGTATGATTTACAATGTGATTTTAGTCTCTGACTAAACCTGCTTACCATGAGTTTGCCCGAGTTTGCCGTGCCCTTTTGATACTGTTTTGGATATTTTGGCTTTCCTCAATCAAACCAGCTTCGCTGGAATAGTTTTTCTTAGTCCAAAGTCAGACTTATAGTATAGCGCTCTGAATGGTGTTGGCTCATTTCTTCTCTCCAGGATGTTTTCTAGTTGTATCAGAGTCCTCGTGTGTCATTTGTTCCAGGTCTTTCCCAATAGAACCAGTATAGTGGAAAGTACAGAATTTCAAATTAGAAAGCCTGAGTTCAACTCCTGGCTTGCTACTTTGTGTCACCTTTGAGAAGTCACTACACTTTGTTAAATTTCAGTCTCTACATCTTATAAAATGTCTCCCTTAAAGAGTAGATTGATGATTAAATGAAAATGCATATGAAAAAATACTTTGAGACTGTAAAGCATTGGGCATATGTTAATTTTATTGTCAATTTTGGGTCTTTTCTCATTAAAGAAGTTGTATATAATCGTTGTGACTTGGAGTAAAATCTTGAATTGACCCTGGCAGTTCTTTTAGCTGCTTTGGCTTTCTAATGACTGGTTGAGGTGATGGAGGTCACAGGGAGAAACTTGGCAGGGCTGTTGATAGTTTTTTTTCCATGTTGTAACAGAAACTCCCTTCCTCAAGGAAAGGAAAATGTGTATTTCCTATTATACTGTACCTAGAATGCTGTCTGCTTAAACAGAATTAATCGGTGCTATCTCAATAGAGTGGTTCCCCAGCTTTAACTAGGATGAATCTCATTTAAATTAAATTTACTGAAATCATGCAGTAAATCATAGTTTATTTCAGTGGCCAGGGAGATAATTTAATCATTTTCTTTCAAAGTACACAATCTTGCTTGATACAACCTTAATACAGAATGTTGTCTTCAGGTAGGAGGACTGTATTTATAGAAACTCTATTATAGCCTTTCCCAGAAGTAAGTCTCGCCTTCATAGTGTAGCTCAGCCTTATGCAGCTATGTGATTGTTACTACTTACCCAGTTCTGCTGACTGCATTTTATCCTAATGAACTGCAGTGTTGTCATTGCCACAGCTGGTGTCAGTCAAGTTGCTCAACTAAATGACATTGAAAATATATTTTGAAAGGACCAGAATTATTTTGACAAAGCATGAATTATATAAAACATAAAGAGAGCATTTAAAATTAAAATTAATTCAAAATCAATGCCTCACAATCTCATATACTGCGTAGCTTACAACAGAAATTATAATTAGTATTTTAATAATTATCTTTAGATTTAAAAAGAAATAAACTCAAATGAAAAATTTATATTGGGTTTTTGTTTTCAAAGATATTTCAAGAAATCCGTTTTTAACCAACATTTGGATTTTTTTTTATTAAGGTATCATTGATACACAATTTTTTTTAATTTTTAATTTTTAATTTTAATTTTTATTATTTTTATTTTGGTATCATTAATCTACAGTTACATGAGTGACATTATGGTTACTAGACTCCCCCCATCATCATGTCCCCACCACATAGCCCATTACAGTCACTGTCCATCAGTGTAGTAAGATGCTATAGAATCACTAGTGTTCTCTGTGTTGTACAGCCCTCCCCGTGCTCCCCACCCCCTACATTATGTCTGCTAATTGTAATGATACACAATCTTATGAAGGTTTCACATGAGCAACATTGTGGTTACTACATTCACCCATATTATCAAGTCCCCCCAACACACACCTCATTGCAGTCACTGTCCATCAGCATTGTAAGATGCCATAGAGTCACTGCTTGTCTTCTCCAACATTTGGATTTTTAAAAACATTTTTTAAGCTTTCCTAATTCTTTTTTTACTTGAAGTGTAATAGACATACAACATTATATTAGTTTCAGGTATAAAACAGTGATTTTATATTTGTGTATATTGCAAAATGATCACCACAATAAGTGTAGTTAACACATCCAACATCATACAGAGTTGCAATCATTTTTTTTGCTTATGATGCAACCTGTTAAGATTTACTGTTAGCAGTTTTCAAATATGCAATATAGTATTACTAACAATAGGTGCCATGCTGTACATTACATCTCCATAACTTACTTATTTTGTAACTAGAAGTTTGTACCTTTGACTCCCTTCATCCATATCACAACACCCTCCCCCACCCCCCATCTGCAACCACCAATCTGTTTGCTATCTTTAAGCTCGTTTTGTTTTTTAAAATTCCACATATAAGTTAGATCATATGGTGTTTGTTTTTCTCTGTCTGACTTATTGCGCTAAGCATAATGCCCTTGAGGTCCATCCATGTTGTCACGAATGGCAAGATTTCATTCTTTTTTTATGGCTGAATAAACTTCCTTTACTCATTCATCTGTTGATGGACACTTAGGTTGTTTCCATATCTTGGCTGTTGTAAATAATGTTGCAGTAAACATGGGGGTGCATATATCTTTTTGAGTTAGTGTTTTCTTTTCTTCAGATAAATACCCAGAAGTAGAATTGCTAGGTTATATGGTAGTTCTATTTTTAGTTTTTTGAGGAACCTCCATACTGTTTTCCAGAGTGGCTGTACCAATTTACATTCCCACCAACAGTGTAGGAGGGTTTCCTTTTCTTTACATTCTCACCAATACTTGTTATTTCCTGTCTTTTGCATAGTGGCCGTTCTGACTGGTGTGAGGTGATATCTTATTGTGGTTTTGATTTGCATTTCCCTGACTGATTAGTGATGTTGAGCATCTTTTCATGTAACCTGTTGGCCTTCTGTTTATCCTCTTTGGAAAAATGTCTGTTCAGATCCTCTGCCCATTTTTTAATTGGATTGTTTGTTTTTTGCTTTCAAGTTCTTTATATATTTTGGATATTAACCCATTATCAGATACATGATTTGTAAATATTTTCTTCCTGTCTAAACTTTCTTAATTCTATTATCAATATTTTGAGCAAGGGTTGTAATACATATGCCTCTTACCCTAATGCTTACCTAATCTTAGAAGAATCAAGATATTTAATATTAGTCTTTCCATTATCTAATTTATGGGAATAAGGATGCTGGAGGTTTTTCTTTTCATATGTACCTTATCACCTGAGGTGTACAAAATATGTACAGTATATTTTCCCTAATACTTCTGCTCATGCAGTGGGTACTAAAGATTCCATGAGCTATAAAATAAATATTTGAGTATATTTGAATGTAATTTGTTTTGTGAAGTCTTTTTCTGTGAATCTTTTTCCTGATGTTTAACTGAAATTGTTCATTTAACAGATGTATTGTTTATTGAAGCACGTTAAAAAATGTTTGTTGTAGCAGCTTAAAAATTATTTCAGAAAGTGCTCTTATAGTATTGTAATGAGTATTAACATTGCTAGTTGGTGCTCAGAAATCTTCCAATAAATTAAAGACAGTAGGTTATAGAGATCCCTGTTACATGAGTTTGGAAAAATCTCAATTTTGATAATATGAAAAGCATCAATTATGGTTCTACATTATGCTTGGGTTTTTAAGGAATTCCATGGCCTAGTTAAGATTCAGCTATATAGAGTCTGGAGCTCAGCCTGTTTAGAAAATGGTGACATCATTTGTATAGATTCAGTACCTGGTTAATGTTGTCATTAATTTGGATATGTCATTTTTTTCTCACAAAGTATGGTCAAGACTTGAGAGCCAGCATAAGTTGGCTATGTCTTCCTAATGCTTGAAATTATTCATAAGTATTTCAGTTTTACAGGGCACATATCTAAGTTTCCCTTCTGAATTTACACATTTTAAGATGACCTATAACAATACTACTATTTGTGAAGTCAGTGCTTTTACTTTCTGAGAGTGAGTAATGATGATTGTTATAAAAAGTGACTCCCAGGGAATACAAATTTAAGAAGAAACTTTGTCTCCAGTTTGGTTTTACTCTAAGGGTCATTCAAATTTTGTCATGCTTTATTCGTTTGACCAAAGCATTGGAACAGATTTCAAAATGATTTGTTACTTTTAACAAGTGGTGATATTCACAGTACTTTATTATCCATTTCAGAAATTGTTAAAAACCTGATTATGAAAGAGAATTCACCTAGAATACCTGAAGCAATTGATAGACTCTTCATGGACATAGCAAATGTCAACAGGGAGTCTATGGCTGAAATACAGGATGCTCAGGTTAGTATAAAAATAATTTTGTTTATGATTAAAGTTTTGATGATTCATCATTTTAATTAATGTACTGTATAGGTAAAAAAGTAGTCTTTACAGCTAACCATTGCTAAATACATAGAAATCTATTTTTGGATTTTCAAGCCTAATGGCACAGAGGCTATAATAGTTTTAGAAAACAATGGAAAAATATGAGTTATAGGTTAATATTTACTATTTAGTCTCTTTAGACTTCAGTTTTCTCATTTATTAAAGAAGAATAATGGAACCCACCTCCCGGTGTTGTTATGAATAGTAAACAAAATAACATGTTTAAGGTCTTGGGTACATAGTGTTAGTTAATAAATAATAGTTCTCTTTTTCTTCCCTTTGCAACAAAGTAAGAAACTTTCTGGAAGTGGGAAACTCAATTGAATATAACTCTTGAGGGGTATTTTTTTGGGGATATTTTGCTGGGGTTTAAATGAAGGTCTGTCACTTAATTTGGAAGTGGTCTTGAGGTTCTGAAACAATATTGACATTGTTTACCTTTGGTAAATCTTGCCATTTTGGTCACTGCACATATGGAAAAGTGGGAAGAAAGTTTATTGTAAATAGTTCTTTTTTATATATGCAATAGCTTTATTTAGATATAATTCACCCATTTCAAGTATATAATTCAGTGAGTATAATTTCACAGAGTTGTACACCCATCATCACAGTAAATTTTAGAACATTTTTATCACTCCTAAAAGAAGCCTTATGCCCATTCACAGATACTCCATTTCCTCCCTTCTCCCCCAGCCCTAGATAATTTTTTTTTCCCATTTAGCTGGAAGTTTTTTTTTTTGAGAGGGCATCGCTCATATTTATTGATCAAATGGTTGTTAACAACAATAAAATTCTGTATAGGGGACTCAATGCACAGTCATTAATCAACCCCAAGCCTATTTCTCAACAGTCTCCAATCTTCTGAAGCATAACGAACAAGTTCTTACATGGTGAACAAGTTCTTACATAGTGAATAAGTTCTTACATGGTGAACAGTACAAGGGCAGTCATCACAGAAACTTTCGGTTTTGATCACGCATCATGAACTATAAACAATCAAGTCAGATATGATTATTTGTTTGATTTTTATACTTGATTTATATGTGAATCCCACATTTCTCCCTTATTATTATTATTATTATTATTATTATTATTAATTATTTTTAATAAAATGCTGAAGGGTAGGTAGATGCAAGATAAAGGTAGAAAACATAATTTAGTGCTGTAAGAGGGCAAATGTAGATGATCATGTCTGTGCCTATAAACTAAGTATTAATCCAAGCTAGACAAGGGCAACAAAACATCCACGGATGCAGGTTTCTCTCAAAACGGGGGGTGAGGTTCTAAGCCTCCCCTCTTTTGGTCCCCAATTTCTCACCTGATGTCCCCCCTGCGACTGTGCCTGTCTTGGGTTGTTCCTCCCTTGAGGAATCTTACCCATCTCTGGCTAACCAGTCATCTTCTGGCAGCCCTAGATAATTTTTAATCTACTTTCTCTCTCTATGGATTTGCCTATTCTGGATATTTCATATAAATGGAATCATACAATATGTGGTATTTTGTGTCTGACTTCTATCACCTAGCATAGTTTTCAGGGTCCTTCCATGTTGTAGTATGTATCTGTACTTCATTACATGTATGTGCTTCATATTTTATGGCTGAATAATATTCCATTCTTTGCCTATACCACATTTTGTGTATCCATTCATCTGGTGATGATCATTTGGGTTGTTTTTATCTTCTAGCTATTATGAATAATGCTGCTATGAACATGGGTGTACAAATACCTGTTCAAGTCCCTGTTTTCAGTTCTTTTGGGTATATACCCAGAATTCCTGGATCATATGGTAATTCTATTCTAAAATTTTGAGGAACCACTGTACTGTTTTCCATAGTGGTTGTACCATTTTACCTTCCCATCAGTGCCCAAGGGATCCAATTTTTCCACATCCTCCCAGCACTTGTTCTTCAGTTTTTTTTATAGTAGTCGTCCTAATGTGTGTAAGGTGGTATCTCATTGTGGTTTGGTTTGTGTTTCCCTGATGGCCAATGATGTGGTGTATCTTTTCATGTGCTTATTGGCCATTTGTATATTTTCTTTGGAAAAAAGTCTAGTAAGATCTTTTGCCAATTTTTAAACTGAGTTGTCTTTTTATTATGAGTAATAGGAGTTCTTTATATATTCTGGATACAAGTCATTTATCAGATACATGATTTGCAAGTATTCTCCCATTCCTTGGGTTTTCTTTTCACTTTATTGTATCCTCTGAAGCAAAAAAGTTTTAAATTTTGATGAAGTCTAATTTATCTATTTCTTATTCTATTGCTAGTGCTTTTGGTGTCATATTTAAGGAAGTTTTACCTAACCAAAGATCATTAAGATTTACTGCTATATTCTAAGATTCTTATAGTTTTAGTTCTTACTTTTCAGGCTTATTATGATCTGTATTCAGTTTATTTTTGAATTTGGTCTATGGAAGGGATACAACTTCATTCTTTCGTATGTGGATATCAAGCCTCAGTGTACATTTGTTGGAAAGACTATTTTCTCTCCATTATATTTGTGTTAACACCCTTGTCAAAAATCAGTCAACCAGAAATGTAAGGGTTCATTTCTGGAATCTCAGTTCGATTCTGTTGATCTATATGTCTTTTCTTATGCCAGTACTACACTCTCTCGATTATGTAGCTTTGTAGTAAGTTTTGAAATTGAAACATGTAAGTCCTTCAACTTTGTTCATGTTTTTCAAGATTGTTTTGACTATTCTGGGTCCCTCAACTTTCCACATGAATTTTAGGTCAGCTTGTAGATTTCTGAAAAGAAGCTAACTGCAATTTTGATGGGTATTGCTTTAAACCTGTAGATCAATTTGAGGAGTATAGGCATCTTAACAATATTACATTTTCTGATCTGTGAAAATGTTATGCCTTTCCATTAACTTTAAAAAATTTTTTTTCAATACTGTTTTTAGTTTGGGGTATAAGTTTTATACTTATTTGTTAAAATTTATTTCTACATTTTGTATTTCTTTTGATGTCATTGCAGTTGGAATTTTTTTCTTAATTTTCAGATTATTCATTGCTAGTATATAGAAATACAGTTGATTTTTGTATATTGATCTTGGATCCCACAACCTCACCGAAGTTGTTGATTAGTTCTAAAGTTTTTTATGTGTAAGTCTTTTTTTAGCTAATAACCTCTTCAGTGCTTAAGTGTTAATGAAAAGAGATTATGAGGTTCAGGACAAGAGTCTGGTCTTATTTTACAAGAAGGTCTGCTTGGTTTTGGAAGTGCCTTGAATTTGTTTTCTTTGTAGAAACCCTAATCTTTATTATTTACTTCTGTTGGCTACATATATTTACTGGGTTTATCATTATACATTTATATAAACCTAGCACAAAACTTGCCACATATTAATTAGGTGCCCAATAGATATTAGCTGAATAAAGCTGCACTTTGTGAATATGAAGTGTTTTTATGGTCATTAGTCTTACCCTTTTCTTTCTAACACAATATGGAAACATAGAAAAAATTATTTCAAACATAAAACATAACTTTACATAAAGTTGGAAAAATGGAGAAAAAATTATCTGTAATCACACCACTCCAATATTACTACATTCATTTTAATAATAATTTCCATATTTAAAATTTATATAGCTAACTGTAGTGTACATGTAAACTTTTGGAATCATGAAAGGCAATTTCTTCTCAACATTTTTATTATAAAAATTTTCAAACAAAAGATGAAAGAATTTTGCAGTAGAAACTAATATAACAGCCACTTCGATTCTGTTGTTGTTAACATTTTACTATATTTGCTTTATCACATACTCATCTATTCATCAACCCATGCTATTTTTTGGATGCATTTCAGAGTTGCAGAAATCAGTACACTATACCTCTAAATGCTTCATTGTGCATATCATTAGCTAAAATTAAATATTTTATTATAGCTTTTTGTGGAGGTAAAATTTGCATATGTGAAAGTTATTGCACATACAATTTTGTATCTTGCTTTTCTCACTAGACACATTTTCCCATATTTAAACAGTTTCCGTGACCACTATTTTAAATGGAAGAATAATATTCCATCTAGTGGATTTGTCATAATTCATGTATATATTTCTTTATTATTGGATATTTCTATTGTTTATAGTTTTTCACAATTGCAAGTAATGACATGAAGAACACTATTAAGTGCAAAGTCCATCCCCTCCACATTTTGTGTTAATTCCATAGGGATAGAGTCTCAAAAGAGCAATTACTGGCCAAAGGATATGAACAGGTTTTGGCTTTTCTCACATATTGTCAGATTGTATTCCAGAATACCAAAATTGGTAGATTCTTTAAGCTGTTTTAGTCTGATGTTTATTTTCCCCCCTAAATACCATTTGTTCCTCTGGGAAATTTGGAGTCAAATATTAGCTCTATGTGTTTTTGATGAAACAAATCAAATAATACTTCATATAAGAGTCATCATCAGGTCATCTGTGGCAAGGTGATACTTTGTGAGAGAGATGGAACTGAGCATGAGAATTAGCCCTGAAATAATAGCGAAATGACAGCCATGCTAAATAATCTGTCTAAAGGGAAGCTTACCAGAAAAATATGTAACTATAGGAGAGAAAAGTGGCACTGGAGAAAATAATGAAAAGTAAAATATACTTGTGTACTATCGTTGTACATAAACTGTTTTTTTTTGGTTTATCCAAAAAAAAGTTAGTATAACTAAGAGTTAGTATTCCTCTTAGTCATATTACTACTGGTGTGTTTATTGTATGATAATAATAATATATAGCTTATATCGTAATGACCACAGCACCCTGGGAGTCTTGGGCCAGAACTATGCCATATTGGTCTCAGGCAATAGTACCACCTAGGACCACTTAGTTATTGCCTTCAGAGGTCTCTTGCCAGAAACCAACCTATCGCACATTACATGGTTTGTGTCTTTATTTTATCCTTGAGAAACTATGAGCTTGATTTTTGTGTCTAGTTGATTAGGTTCCACCTGATAGAAAGATGAACCACTAAAGAAGCTTCTAGCACCTTTGGCTCCTGTCTCTAGAACAAAACATAATAAAACAACAAATCTTGCTATTTGAGTATGTATTCTTTATTTAGCAATTTGGCAGGTACTGTAAGTGCCACATGAGTTGTATAAGACATGATCTCCGTTATTAAGGAAACTAGTTGCAAAGTAAGAATAACAACTAAGACAATTAAAGAATAAATGATACAAAGTAGCATAATTAATTGCTCAATTATGTGAAACTTAATGAATATAGGAATTTGAAGAAGAGAGAGATCAGTGTAGACTGTAATGGTTTCTGAAAGTTTCATGGATGTTCCTGGTGACACAGAACTGGATTTGAGTGACATAAAGACAATAGGAGGAGGTATATCAGGTGAAGTTAACAGTATTAATAAAGGTGCATAGATAGGAATGAGATAATGAAGAGTAGGTAAGTTTTTGAGAGGAAAGGTAGAATAGGACTAGATTATGGAGAGCCTATAAATGACCCCTGTTAGTCACATAAGCATAAAACATGCAAGAAAGAAATAATCTTTGGAGGTGGGCCATATTTAACTGGCTATGAAAATGTTTTTCCTGTCCAGGTTGAAGAAATGGCAATAAACCTGTGGAACTGGGCAGTAACCAAGAAAGTAGGGTCGGTTATAAGTGAAGAGCAAAAGGCTAAATGTATGTATTATACATTTTGTGACTCATATTATTATGTTTTGTGATTCTTATACTTTTGGTTGTGTTCCTCCAGTTAAATAATATTTCGACCAGTTCTCAGTTCCTAGCTGGAGCTTTGTTAAAAGAAAACTAAACAACTCATAAGCAGTGGCTTCTCAAGCAAACATCCTCCCTCAATTTTATGATTTTTCAAATGTTAGCTCCTTAATAAAAGTTGAAAAGCATCACTACAAGAAATAGTCTGGTGGTGATCAACAAAGATATTAAAAGGTGGGAAAATGAGAACTTGAGGAAATGTTAAAGGACTTGGATTATTTTTCCTGGAGAAGAGATGACCAGAATCTTCAGGATTCTGGACCATCAAATAGTAGTTCCCTCTTTCATTAATAATAGAATGAAAAATGTTGCTATGTGAGGGAGTTAGATTTAAAAATCTATAACAAATAGTTTCCTTATGAGGTGGATTGATGAATATTTAACTGAGTTATTGGGGAAAATTATAGAAGTTTTTTTCTACCTGTGAGAGCAAACAATAATAATAACACAAAACAAAAACCCCAAACTAAACTCATCTGCTTGGATGCATTAAATGTGATCCACTGTCTGGCTAAGTTCTAATGCAGTAGCTAAGTGGGCAGAGTCTAGTTTGCTGACAGATACTGATTTCCAGCAAGGATAATGACAGTTAAAGCATTTATGGACAATGTATTGCCCCATTATAAAGGATACATTACAGCAACAAACCAGAAGGAGAATCTCTGGACTGCTTGGCTTTGTAAAGACAAATGAATTTTGTCTGTATGCAAGAAAGACAACATATTACTAAGTATTTATCTTTATGAATATAAACTAAACTGTATACAAATTCAGTGTAAATGTAGGGTAATTAGTGATTAATACAGTCAATATACTTACTCATTAGTCTACTCTTCTACTAGGATGTTTAGAGAACATTCTATTGTTTTAATTCTCAGGGAACTGTTGCTGTCATTGCTCCTAGGGCCTTAGGTCCTGTAGTTATGGGAAGGGAAGATTATCCATGGGAGAGACTTAATAAACAGGTAAACTGAGATATTAAGATGTATTAACTCTAAACTATAATTCTGTGTATCAGGGAACATGGCTCCGGCTGTTTATCACTGCTTGTCAAATAGCAGGGATTTGGTAGGTGAAGTGGGAGCTGCAGCCCTAGGATGTCTCTCAATGTACTGGCTCTGCATGTAGCAATTCTTAAATACTTGGGTGCTTATTATGTGTATAGTACTTTTGAGATAGAGTGGAAAAACAGGATGTAGTGCAGGAAGCCCCTGATTTAAAAGTTATTCCAAAAATATGTTCCTTGGAAGTATTTGCATCCTTCAAAACAAGTTCAGTGTGCCTAAATTATATATATATATATATATTTTTTTCTTTATTTTGGTATAATTAATCTACAATTACATGAAGGACATTATGTTTACTAGGCTCCCCCC